TCTAGACCCAAGGGCTTCGCTTCATTGCTAAATGCATTGAGAGCCACCACTAAGGATTCCAAAGACAGATAGAATCGCAACATCAGCAGCAAAGTCAAGGTCGGTATCCTTGATATTGGCCAGAGTTGCTCCACAACGACTTTGAACAGTAGCTCTGCCCAGTATCCAGTCCATGCAAGTGTTAAAAAGTGTTGGTGCAAGGACACAGCCTTGCCTCACTCCTGAACTAACAGGAAAGAAGCTTGACAGGCCCCCACCACACTTTACAGCACTTTCAGTACCAGTATACAGACTTGTTGGAATTCCTCTCAGTCTCAAGATCTCCCAGAGTGATTCCTGATGCACCATGTCGAATGCCTTCTTAAGGTTGATGTAGGCTGCAAGCAGCCCACGCCTGAACTCATGACGGCACTCTATAATGACTTGAAGGGCTAGGATATGGTCTGTTGTGGACATCCCAGGAGTGAATCCAGATTGCTCCGGCCTCTGATGCCTCAGTAGGTGGTCTCTGATACATCTCAGAAGGATGTTAAATACTGAAGAGAGCCTCATATTGTATTAATTGTAAATAGTTTTTTACATGGAAATACATGTATATTGCCTACTACCTCTTTTATTCTCCCAAATGAAATTTCAAGAAAAATAAACACAAGTTTAATGAATATGGTATAACACTGGTAAAAAATCCAAAAAAATAAGCTCACATAAATATGTATAAGATATGACATGGGTAAAATTAAACAATTACAGCCATTAAAAAAAAAAAAAAATCTCTCCCTCTCTTTCTCTTTTCTCTCTCCCTTCAATGGTTTATATATACATACACAAACAAAGAGCCAAAGAGGGAAAGCAGCACTGACATAGAGGGCACTGTGGGGCTGGCCACAGCTGGGGAGTATGGGTGAGGGGATGTCAACCGCCAAGGGGGTAGCCGACTTGTAGCTTTCCAGGACCCAGGCCTACTGCCCCGGGCCTGTGTGGGTGAGGGAATGTTACCCACTGTAGGCGTGAAACCAGTTTGTGGGTAAGATCCCCTCACCCATGCAGGCCCGGGACAGCAAGCCTGGGCCCTGGCAAGCTTCAAAGGGGCCACCTCCTTGGCAGCTGACATCCCCTTATCCGTGCAGCTCCCCAGCTGTGGCCCAGCTGTGGGGAATAAAAGAGATAGTAGAACATGAATATGGATAAAAAAAAAAAAAAAAAAAAAAAAAAAAAAAAGTTATATACAATACAAGGATCTCATCTTCAGTATTCCACTTTGATAGTCCTTAAAACATCCAAAGACGCAAAAGTGTCTTTGCAGATGTGGCAATGGGCCTTTGTCATCTTTGTCCTTCCATGAGTATAACATACATGGCAATGGTTGTATTTCTTGTCTTCATTTTCACAAATGACAGCACCGCTATAGAGGGTGCACTATTTGCGGGGCTTGCCTCGGTGGGAGCTGTGCAGGCGAGGGGATGTCAGCTGCTAAGGGTGTAGCCCCCTTGCGGCTTGGCAGGGCTCAGGCCTGCTGTCCCAGGATTGCGTGGGCGAGGGGATGTTACCTGCCAAAGGGGTTGCACACCTTCAGCGCCTGGTATGGTCAGGCCCTCCACTATCTCTAAGCGCATGTATGTATGTTTGCATGTGTGTAAATGTGTGTGTTTATGTATGTATGTCCTCTTTCATTTATGTAGATTCATGAGTGTCTGCATAAGTTATGTAGATTCATGAGTATAAGTATACCATAAATATGTCATATAAAGTTACAAATTATTTTATTACATTATCACATTGCTGACATTTTCCAAATATTTACTATTAGAGTCTCAACTATAGGAAATAAATAAATTTTAATATCTCATTTATTTTCCAAGAAAATGGGAAAACAAAGTCAAAATCCTTCAAGTGCAGTTTCTCACACCACCTGAGTGTAAAATAAATACCACTACAGGACTATGTGCCATATTACGTTATACCATCACAAGGCTGTATACACCTATCTAGAAAACCGAGATCTATGGGTTAATAAGTGTTCCCAACCTTTATTTACTCACATTAGGTGCAGATCAACAATGGCGTGGATATGTTCAAGTGATGTATGCCTTGTTCATTTGATGTGAGATTCATAACACTACTTTTGCTTGCTAGCCTGTTTCCTGCTCTTATCAACAAGTACCAAGAATCTTTAGTTAGTATATCAGCATCTAAAGTACTTACAACTTTTTTGCTGTCATAAAACAAAACAACAAGATTAAGGATGATGATAAATGATAAAACAGTGAAACTATTAAAAGAGAATGATATCTCCTCATATATTTCAAACAATATCATCAAAACTGATTCCAAATAGGATACTCATATAAATTTACAACGGTGAGCTGCTCTGTTCCAATTAACACGCACACAAAAGAGCACTCACAGCATCCTAAAAGAAACAGTCTTGGGGTCAATTTCAACTGAGTATCCATCACACTTTGATATACCAATTATCAACATCAGATCAATTAAAAAATAAATTATTTTGCAACTTCTCGTAAATATAAACATAAAAGTGACAGACCACATAAAGAAAGGAAACAATTAATTGTAGAAGAGAGAATAATTACCTAAAAATCTGCATAGTGATATTATTGTACATGTATAGAGACAAAGAGCTAAAACAAATAAATAAACATCTAAATATAACTTGAGACACTAAATAACATTTTTTTGTGTTTTTCACTTATTGCCATGACTGGTGATGAGCTTCTCACTAAAAGCACTCAAAATTGAGTTACAATAATAGTGACTATAAAGCAAGAGAAGTAATACCAAGCATTTTAGCACACATGAGGATTTCCTCTATAGGATTTCACTCTTGAATGTGCCAAAGAGAATAGAAAGAAAAATGCTATCCTTTGGTTAACTTTGAGCTGATTTGTGCTCTGGAACTATTTGGTGTAACCTTCCATAGTGTGCATGTTCGCTGACCGAGACTTAAGGAAACTTTTTCATTACCACTTCCTTTCATCTATTAAATTTTGTGACATAGTTACCAAGAATACTGATTCAATCACTTCTCCTAATCATTTTAAGTACAAATGGTTACTCACAGAACTACTCTTGTAACAATCTAACATATTGCAAGTAAAATTCACTATAATCCTTTATATAAATCTAGTCAGATCTCTATCCACTGTTAGTGTTTAATAGACAACAGCATAAAGAGGGAGCAAAGATGGCATCTTGTATGAGTATTTTAGTAAAATATTGGCAGATCTGTGACCAATCAACTGTACAAGATGTTCTAATTTGGGTCATGGGAGACACAACCATAAAGGAATGTCATGAGAGATTTTAAAAATTGCACTTATGAAAATCAATAAAACAGATTTTGCATTAGTAATCTAATACTAAAACTAAACTAAAAACTAAAAATTTCAACCAAAAACATCTTGTCAGTGTTATTAATAAGAAAGAAGCCTCTTAAAACTAGCTCTTCTTTTCCAAACAAACTCCTAATATTAAATAAGATCTTTAAATTTCTTCAATCATTACCATTTCTAAAAATCATTCACTGACAAGGCAGTGATATCTAACCCCCTAACAGCAATGTCTATCATTACGGAAGATATATATACGGTGCTAGAATTCCACTGTCTGCAAAAATGCTGCCAATAAAGCCATTTATCTGAACAGCATTAGAATATTGTTAATGCCATTCAGATCCAAAGCCATAAGCGGAGTCAGAGTCAGAGTCGGCATTTATAGGCGGCACTGTGGAAGCAGTGGAGGAGGTAGAGGTGGTCTCTTCCGTAGGAGCCAAGGCTGGGTATGCTGACACGGGACGGCTGGCTACAAAGTCACGGTCTCTCTTGGTTTTTCTCTTCTTGATGGGTCCAAACTTTGGTGGCGGCATGGACTTGGATTCCTTATCCTGAAATTAAGAATCCTAAGTGAATTCTACAGTCTGTATAGAAATGTCAGTAATAGTTAAATGAATATAATTTTTTTTTTTTTTTTCATTGCATTCAAAGCATGTTTCAATGGGATTCAGAGAGGGGACAGTTGAGGAAAACCTCCATCGCAAACTATATTAATTTCAGGGAACCAACTTAATTCCATTTTTTACTATTATTTTTAGATTATTTTTTTCAGGCCTAATATGTTGTATACTTTTATTTCCTCATCTTTTAGATCACAAATTTCAAATATTTTCATATTTAAAGAATCAAAGCTGAATTTGCACAAAAAAATGAAAAGAAGAAGAAGAAAAAAAAGCTAAACAAAAGAAAAGGACAGGAATTAGCACTAACCTGTAGAGAAGTATAAATTAAGATTTGTACAATTAAGATGTGTATCAAGAAAAATTTCATTGTATTGTACTTTTTAAAAAATTGTAGATAAATTGCTCATGGTAAAGTTTGTAGTCTGTAAACTGCTCTTCCAGAAAGTGAGAGGCATATCTTAAAGCAGATGGAAGCTAATCACAATGTACAGTGTAAGACACAACTCTGTTACTATCCATGGTCTGTTGAGTTATGACTAATGAAATGTAATGGAATGCTTGCAATACCTATACTGTCACATGGTAAACCTTTCCTTGTTTTGTTAGTTTTAACTGCACAAACGTTAACAGATATACCTCTTATTATTAATATTTTACAGATGGAATCACAAAAGATGGCCAAGTAAATGGTTGACAGACCCATTCATAACATGGTGAAAAGTTTCCTAATGCTGGGTGATGCCTAATTTCCTGGCAGCCAGGATGATAGCTCTCTAGCCATTAGATGGATAATAGCCCATGTGTAGAGTGGTACATGCTAAAACACCCAAACCTCACCACTTTACCAAATATTTTACCTGTCATGAATGGGTTAACCTAGACTCAACCTTTGTGTAACCTATGTCTGTGGACATGTCAACAGAGACCAAGTCCTCTTTCTGTATATATCGCAGGTAAGGTTGAACATACACACTATTAAGAGTATTGGTGTATGTGGAATCCTATTTACTTTAAGCATAATGTATACTTTAAAGATTGCATTGCATTAAACATGGAGGATTTGAAGTATGAGTACAATCAATAGTTTATCTTCTAGTTTACAAATACTGCCATGCTGCATTTTTCTTGTCATTGCAGTGATACTATTTTGTCACTTTTGTTGAACTGCATAATGTTGATTAACACCATACATTCCTATTTAAATATATTATAATGGTCTGTAGTCTACATAAGTGAATCACAGTTTAACCATATATAATTCACCAAGCAATCCTTAAAGGATATTTACTAAGAATTCTTCCATTTCTGCAAATATATTTCATAATATGTAGGACACCCTGTGCCTTGAATATTTTTTTCTTTAGCCTCTAAAAAAGAAACTGAATATTCTTAATATATTTATTTTTATCTAATTTATTTTCAGTAACTACTGCCACTAGGAATGTCTAGTCAGTTTAGTTTTAAATTTCAGTTAAGGGCAAGGTTCTAGACCCTCATTTCAGAAACTTTAATATTAATCTAACTCTTCCAGCCTGAAAACTTTACCATTATTCTTTTTGGAGACTGACTTTGGGATTCTCAAAAGAGTACACTATATAATAATTCTTATATAAATAAAGGAGGGTACCCATTAATTTCTTTGAATTAGGTTAAATGTATTCCTGTCTCTAGAAAAACAGCAAAAAATTTATAGATATTTGGCTGGTTATTTAAAATTGTGAAGCCCGACCCAATAAATATTTATTACATGGACAAGCATATAAACGAAAATAAACACATATTATATATATATCACTCAAGACTATTATATATATCTACTGGACAGATACACAGATAAATGTATATCTATAAGATAGTTAGACAGATATGCATTTATTTCTCTGAATATGCATGTCTGTAAATAAGAATATTTATTGGGTCAGGACTCCCACAATTTTAACAAATTGCCCAAATAAAGTGAGTTGCCAAATATTTACATAAGTTTTCTGATTGGTAGAAGTGAATGAATGGACAGTTTCATTTATTTATTTATTAAATTAAAGTTTTGGAATCTCGCCCTCAACTTCATAAGTAATTGATCTTTAGAGAGTCCTAATGACCTCAATGAGAATGTAAAAATAATGCATAAAAAAATGCTATGCTAATGTATAAACTTTTTTTTTTTGAGGTAAAAAAAAAAAAAAAAAAAAAAAAAAAAAAAAAATGCACATTAACCTCTGCATTTTAGTATCAACATCCTTAGTTTGATATTCACCATTTTTTTTTATATCAAAAGGCAATGACCAGATTTCCTCTGGAAAATATAGCTAGCCCATAAAAATAATCAAGCTTTATTAATTTATTATATATTTTTTTTTACAATAACAGAAAGCATTCTACAGTACTGACCATTTATTTTCTTCAGGTGAACATGACCTACTACATTATCTTTTAATCAAAGATGATGTTCCTTTTGAACTCTCACGCCCTGAGAAAATTTCCTAAACTCATATCCTCCTGATCTTACTTCATCACCTGAAATTCCCAACATTCACTGGCCATAACTTATTCTCATTTTAAAAATCTTGTTAAAAACAATGACATGCTGAAGAATAACGCACGTGAATAAAGACTGTTGTAAGAATGTTTTTCATAACATCATTTTTAAGTATAATGTTAAGGGCCTTTCAGCTTTTTGTCCTAAATGACCTCAATTCACTATTGTCTAGAGTTCTTATCAACCATTCTTTTTTTTACCCCCCTTCCACTCCCCCCCCCCAAAAAAAAAAAAGAAAATCATATTGACCAAAATAATGAAACATTTTCTACAAAACCCCGCATCGCCGGTTCTTTCGAGCGCCGGCACATCGGGGGTGTTGGGGACTCACTGCATCAGGTATGGAGTCGCTGGAGCCCCAACTACGGTGCAACTTCGACTCCACCTCACGTGATAGCAAGTTATTGAAGGCCTCCGTTGTTTTCCGGACCTTCACGTTGAGAGACCCAATGCGCAGGAAACCAGCCGCTTCTTTTACTGAAATATAAGAGTCAGTTGAAGCACAGGAGCAGGAGTGAGGTTTCTTCAGACACTTGGAGATGGTTAACAGAACTGAAGAGGTTTGACAGAGATTTCGTTAATCAAGTCACTGGTGTAATCAGGGGATATAAATTTTGACAGATCACGTATTTGGAATAACGTCACAATGTTTAGGGAAAACAAAATACAGATCACATAATATTTGGAATAATGTCACAATATTTAGAGGAAAAGAAGAAAAACATACATAGGGACAGTTAACTTTAGTTTTCGGGATAAAAATGCTGTTGCAAGAGAAAACATACATATTCTAAAACTCGCAATTACTACCAATAACAAGAAACAAGTTACTACACAAAAACTCTTTATGCACAAGGCCTTCCACATAACCATACAAGACAGAAACCAAGAAAAAAATGTTACATCGATCCTTCACCACATGCTTCACGAAAAACTGTGTCTAAATGTCATGCATCATGGTACACTGAGTATATATTACAAAAAATGTGCACTGAAAACATCAAAAACCTGAAATGGGGAAAAAATAAAAATCACACCACACATCGATAAAAAAGCGAAATTAAAAGGGGGTGACTGGTTATCCGGGCGCCGGTGACCAAGTGCGTCACTCCACACACACGAGCTGGGAAGAGCTACCTGTCTGAAGACCGACGCCATCACCTCTCCCAGGCTATGGCGGCGGCTGTGTGACGACGAACTCTTTCCTGAGCGATGGTAATGATTACGACGCCGGTGGTGGTGATGGTGGCGAAGGAGTTGTTCTGTAATCGGTGTGGCGGCGTGGCGATGGAGGAGGGTCAGGTGGATAGGAGTGAGGGAGACCAACACCAGAACGGGTGAATCGAGTTAGTGCTTTTGATTTTTGTTTAGCAAAGTACAATTAAGGTGGGAGGCTAGGTGGGAGTGAAGCTACAATAGTTGGGCCATCTCAAACGCTTGGGAGGCAGCTATATTAGGGATTGGTAGTCTAAAAACAATGAAGTAAAGAAAAAATACATGCAGGGTTAATCAACATAGAAAGTAATCCGTGTGAGTATCCCACTTAAGACTACATGTTACACAATACTGCATCGAAAATTTCCATTAATTTTTGTCAACCTTCGTTTCAGTAAAACAGCTTAAGTAAAACGGGAAGTTTGAAAAGAACATCAGTAAAGCAGTATATATGTTCAAGACGACTGAATATAATTAGCATAATTTTCAGGGCATACCCCCGACTGTAGTGTTCACCAATTAAGGAATCGGCAAGGATATCGATTATCCTTCGACAACTAGACTACCGCCCTCAGCATGACCCACACAAGAAAACAAATTAATAACGGCCAAATCATGATAATTTCATGTGTATATTAAAACAAGGAAGAGTAAACGTACAGACAAAAGGCGTAAAAAATCGGTTTCCATCGGTCGATCTGATAAATTGCCAGCGACCTGACATGAATAAGCATACATCTACACATGCAGACACTCAAAAATAAACGCGTATGTGTATATAAACATAGGTAGACACATGGAAGGATTGTACGTTTATTTTTGTTTATATACATGTCGATTTGCATAAATACTCATTGGGTCGAGCCTCGCAATTTTAACCAACCGACCGTCTATCATGAACTGACGCGTGACTGAACAGTTCTTGTGGCTGTGGTGAAACGGAACAAAACTCGAGAGCAGAGGTGGGAGCGCTGGTGCAACATGTGTTTGGCACCAAGTCCGTTCAGCCAGGCAGCCGGCGTGCACAGTACTTGTAACCTACCATAATACTCACATTTCTACGAAAAAAAGCTTTTCCAAAATGACCTGACAGAGAGTGACTGAGGAAAAGAATAGTGATCGTAAGAAAGACAGAAATGCAATCGTTTCAAAAGCCAATATTTTTTTTCGATTTACGTGTCCCGAAATATGAACATTAACGTGTTGCCAATTGGGGTGTGGTTAAAATGGCACTTTTGCGAACACACCACACTGGTATGTTACGCATGATTACTTCACAATGATCTTGTTGATAAAACCACACATAAATATACCTCTGTGTGTGTGTGTGTGTGTACGCTCGCGCATGCTGTCAATCGTTAACTCAATTATATACTAACAGATGTTAGTTTACAAACAATATAATTAAAGATGAAGAAAACATGAAGATAAGATGTTTCTCAACCGATAGGAAATTAAACTATACAACTTATTTTTGTACCTTATATATATATATATATATATATATATATATATATATATTATATATATATATATAATATATATATATATATAATACATACACACACACACACACACACACACACACACACACACACACACAACACACACACACACACAATATATATATAATATTAATATATATATATATATATATATATATATATATATATATATATCCTATGTGTGTGTGTGTGTGTGTTGTGTGTGTGTGTGTGTGTGTGTGTGTGTGTGGTGTGTGTGTGTGTGTGTGTGTGTGTTGTGTGTGTGTGTGTGTGTGTCTGTGTGCGTGTGAAAGTGAGTATGTGTGCGTGTGTGTATGTGTATGTGTATGTGTGTGTATGTGTGCGTGTGTGTGTGTGTGTGTGTGTGTGTGGTGTGTGTGTGTGTGTGTGTGTGTGTGTGTGTGTGTGTGTGTGTGTGTGTGTGTGTGTGTGTGTGTGTGTGTATGTGTATGTGTATGTGTATGTGTATGTGCGTGTGTGTGTGTGTGTGCGTGTGTGCGTGCGTGTGTGTGTTTTGTGTGTGTGGTTGTGTGTGTGTGTGTGTGTGTGGTGTGTGTGTGTGTGTGTGTGTGTGGTGTGGTGTGTGGTGTGTGTGTGGTTGTGTGTG